TTCTTCCGTTTCTTTGATTTGATGAAATATGAAGCTGAAGGATAAGTTCAATGTGTCATTGAACATATATTTTCCGTAACTTGTCACAAAATACTCCAAAATTATTAAGAAATTAATTTAGAAAACTAGAAGAACATTTGTATTACATGTGAGTTGTGAGCGGAGAGAGGCAAAAAGAATTGAGAGTGTGGCGATGATTTTAGAGCATGAAGGATCTGATGCTGCTCTTCCGGGGTAGGTGGCGGCCAGTGGTTGCGATGCGCTTGCGTACGCGCTCGAACTCGGCGGCGGGGCAGGGGATGGTGATGCAGCCGGGGTGGTGGAACCCGAACTCCTCCTCGGCCTCCCGCAGCAGTTCCGCGAACAAGGGGTGGTTGAAGTAGATCACCGGCACAAAGTACCTCCGCGGCGGCTGTCCCCCGACGTCCTTCCTCCCCCCGCCGACGTACACCGCCAGGTGCCCCTTGGGCGGCGGCCTCCGATCCTCCTCGCCCAGGAACAGCGTCCTGTCCCCGAGGCGGTGGCGGAGGCGGAGGCGGCGGGAGAGGCTCCGGCCCCAGTCGAACACCCTCGCCGCCAGCGCAGAGGCCTCGATTCGGCGGCCAGGATTGGAGACAGTGGTCGATGGGGTGGCGTCGAAGCGGACGTAGCAGCCTTTGCGGCGGCGACGGTCGAGTCGAAAGACGCGTCGCCAGATCCGCACGAGGCGGCGGCCCACCCTGAACCCTCCTCTGTATCTCATCATCATCTGAAGCAACTGCGGACGTTGCAGAGAAAAAGGACTTAATGACATGAAGTACGTGAAAGGGTGCGAAGCTAAGAAGCAAGTCTCTTCACACACTGATTCCTTTCCTCTCTCTCTCTCTTCTCTCTCATCGAAACGAAACCAAAATTATATAGACAGAGAACAGTGACGAAGAGGAGGAAAGCGTGAGTGAGAACAATATAAAGAGGAAGAGAAGAGAAGACGAAGAAGAAGCACAAGGGTCAGCAGTCGTGTGTTTGTCTACGGTGGTACGGTCCCATCGTTTGGGCTCCCTCAACAGGAAGGAAGCGTGTGTTAAGTGCAGATGTTATCCGAGTTGCTTCAACCACCATAAACGCAGGCTGGCGTTCGTTCCGGGAAGGAGGGGAGAAGGATGGATTCCGGGGATCAAGCTAAGCGAATCCGGATCCAAATCTCAACAGTTACCACGAGCTTGAGGTCTCATCTTGTACGTTGACTTCCACCGGAAAGTACGCAAGGAAAAGGCAATAACCGACGCTACAAGTCCGCCGAGGAAGCAACGTGGAAGCCGCAGCGCGTGCATGGATTGGTTCCTATTACGTTGCGTGTTCTCATCGTCTTGCGAAAGGAAACGGCTTGTACGTACTTACTACGACTCGCCGCCGGGGGCGGTGGTGGATTCACAGAACTTCGCGGAAGGTGCAGACGATGAAGACGATCTGCTCCACCATTACAAAGAAACGTAATGTCATTATTCTTTCAGCGGTTGCAGAAGAACCCTAGGCGTGATGATGCTTCCTTCTCTTCTTTGCCGAAGATATCTGCAAGTTGCATGATGGATGGCATCAACCATCTCGATGCATTGGATGCCAACTTCCTTAGCAACAGCTGAAGCTTATCACTTTGCAGATGTCATGGTGCAGACCATTTCAGCTAACTGGTCGGTGCCGGTGAGGTCCCTCAAACCTGAATGGAATAAATAGGCAGTGGAATCGTCTTCTTCACCGTCAAACCTGAATGGCTTGGACTGGTGTGGTGGTAGTAGGAGATCAAGTGAGGGGGAGAGGAGGTCAGATGTCCTTGTTGTGGACTGAGTACTTGTGCTGTCTCGACTTGGAGGTGGCAAACATCAATACCAACATGAAGAATGCAGAAATGTCAATGGAAATTAAATATCATCTAATGTTGGGTCGTCCGTGAATACCCAAATTAATGTTTGATGTCAACTTCAACTAAATATAAAATTAGCTAAAAATTGTGTAGATTAGGGTTTGAATGAAACATTATGCCGTGTAGGACCATGAGAAGGTTGACTTGAGAAGCGGCAGCTCCAGGCAAGCTTAGGTAGATCTATTACTCGTTGAGAGAACTATGAAGCCAAAGACTTAATTACATATTATTAATTAGTTATTTTTAATATTTTGATCTTTATATTTTTAAAATTTATATTCGGATCCCTATATTTATGAAAGTAAAATATTTAATTCCGTTTTTCCTCACGCCATCGAATTTGCTGATGACTTTGTCTCATTTCAATTTATCACTATGATATTTTTATCAGCAAAAGAAAAAATAAGGTTAAATATTTTATTTTCATAAGTATAGAGATTCCAATTTAACTTTTGAAAGTGTAAGAATCACGATGCTAAAAGTAGCTATGTAATTAGCCAGATAGAAATGTATTTTTTAAACAAAATTTGAAATAAATTTAACTGTATTTTGTTACATGAAATTAAGGTTTGAGAATGGCTTTTGGATAACTTAATTTAATAATATATCCTAAATATATGAATCTATAATTCATTAGATTGTCATAAGTTCAACTTAATGATAATATATCCATTAATTTAAATTTCTTTTTCTTCTTTCAATGTGAGATACATAAATAAATAATATGAATTCGGAACTTCTTATAAATAATAAGATGTACCTTCTCCTACATTATTATTCATCTTAGGTGCAATAATTTGTGGTATATCCATGCTTACAATCTGTTGTTCATAATTTTATGCTCTTGCATTGCATGATGCATGGACAATTACATGTGATTGTATTATAAGTACATATAAGCCAAAAATAGTTTTGTGATTAGCATATGTGGTTAATCAAATTGCATTACACAACCCAATGCTTTGTTCAATTGGAACAAAACAAATCAGACTTTTAGAACAACGAGATCAAGTAATCAATTAGATCAAAATCTCTTTCTATGAGTGGCTTCTCATCATTCCATCCCTTTTCTCCTCCTTGTGGCGTTCAACCACACTCCATGGTCATAATAGGTACTACACTTTGACGAGACATGCAAACCGAAAGCTATCATGCCCTTCTTCTCATAGTTCCTATCTTTAGGTGAGAATATTTCACTTCTTTCAGAGCCCCTTTTCCTCACAGTGAACATATGACGCACACTATAAGTTCATCATTAGGCCCATTAAGCGCGAGGGTGATGCCCTTATCTATATACGTACATCACATACACACATTTTTGATAGCCTTATTTATATACGTACATCATACACGTTGATTTAGACTTTGAAGTCTACACATTTTTATGGCACTTGATATTAGGGACCAAAGGAGCATGTTTTAGAAGATAACTTGGGGGCATACTGCTTGAAGTATGTGCAGGAAGAAAGCTACACTTTGGGCCCCTCGGAGATCTGTAAAGATCTACGGGAAAGATGCAGTGGACCGTATGAGTGAGAGAGAGAGAGAAGAGAGAAGAGAGAAGACATCATGGTGGAGAGAAGAAGGTGGCCGGCGGGGCCCGGCGTGTATTCAGGAGGCCGCAACCCTTTCGCATTGGCTCCGCAGCTTGTAGGAGAAGGTTGTCCCACCGAGCGCGTCACGTCCGACGAAACTCGTGGCTGTGGGGGGGCAGTCAATGATGGGATTACGTAGGCAATGATCGACCGCCATGGTCGATCTCTCCAAACCACTCGTTGATCGTCTCTCTCTCTCTCTCTCTATCGTATCATCAGAAGCAGTCTTCATGCAGCTGAGGAAGGAAGCTTTGACAACATGCATGGCAATGTGATTGCTGACCAACAAGGGGAGGAGTCGTGTTCTTTTTGGGTGGCTGACCAACGAAGAGGAGGAGGAGAACCGAAGGGCGTATGATGCCGTAGGATGACCGTAGCATCGCGTGCGATACTTTTGCTTCACTTCTGGCCCAAAGATATACCTACCAATATACGTATGCCCCAAATTACAGGCTGTACGTATACGATGGGAGGTACCCAAAAAAAAAAAACCCGCCGCGTGTCGACCGCAGAGGTGGTTTGACGGGGTGGGTCCCGCGGGACCAGGGCCCTAATCATCGGGTCGAGCCCACGCCGGACCGGGAGCCGCCACGTGCTGAACTCGCGCACGCGTGGGCGGCCCGCCGGGACCCACTAAAGTTGTGGGTCTGAGCGCCAACGTTATTTACTTGCATGTTTAGGCTCTCCTCGTTCTGTTGGTTTGGATTGGTGTTTGGAGACGCGTCGCCATCGGAATGCTTGGCCGTGTCCGAAAGAGCCCCCACCACCGGAGAATGACTCTCTCCCCTCTCCCAGTGGTAATGATCGTAGTGACCGAGAAAATGGTATTGGATGCAGCTCATATGTGAGGAAGGACACTAGAAGAAGAAGAAGAAGGAATTGTAAGCAGACAGCCAACAAACCATTGAGAGCAGAAGCAGGCGGTCCCCGGCACCACTGGCTACTTTGGACACCCCCCATAAGTCCCGGGCTGTGCTGCTCACGAACTGTGAGTAAACATGAAGCTTGTAGCGGTGGTCTCGTATCGTCGATTTTGATTACCTACTGCTGCTGCTTTTACTACTTCCCTGCAGGCTTCTACATAAAGCTGCAGGCAGCTGTACTCCGTTTTGTTGCTCTCTCTCTCTCTCTCTCTCTCCGTGCCTCTCTTTCTGCCATCTCTGTGGAACAAAGGAGGATAGCGTCGTGATCTCCTGTCGTCCTGGTCGCTCTCGGTGGCGGGTGGAGGTGGTGGCGGTTGCGGCAGAGAAGGCCAAAGGGAAGTAAAAGAAGCTTTGCTCTTTCCGGCCATTGCGGCGCCATTTCTCTGCTTCCGTAGCCTTTCCCCGCAATCCATCGATCCACCCATACACGAATGAATGTTGCAGCAGCACGCTGTGCTGAAAGAACACCGGAGCTGATAAACTATAGTTTTTCTATCCTTTGGGCCATCGCACACCGCCTGTTATTTAACGCCATTGCCTCCTCCTTTACCCTCTTCCATAACCTCTCTCTCTCTCTCTCTCTCTCTCTCTCTCTGTGGAGCGTTGTTCTTGGAATCCGATCCCTCGCGGTACTCCAAAGATTGAAGGACGAGGCGTCACAGACGATACGACGCCCGAGGCTTCTGTCGAGCCAAGATAAACTAATATAGCAGTAAAAGGTCTTCATCTTTTCCGTCACGGCTGACTCCGGCATCAGAGGCGTGTCCCAGCCAAATAATACATTCAGCGTACTCGGAACTATTTGGCCAGTCTCACTAATCTCTATAACCAGTAAGACCTTTTCCTCATTTTACCTGAACTCTCTCTCTCTCTCTCTCTCTCTCCATCTAAACACACAATGCTTCCGATGCATATAAGCTTGTTACTTTCAGCACACATCTGGTTACACATCGAAGGCAAGAAGGTTTGTATATGCATGACAATCTGGTATTCTCGTATGGACAGCTTTACAGACTCTCTTGAGCTCTCGCTTTGTTTCCATCAAGCTAGCGTGCTTCGTAGTGTCTTTAGATGTTTGTGTTTCTGCTTTAACTTGTGGTGATGATCCAGCCAATCTATCTGAACTCTTTTGTGAACTTTCCTCTTTAGTTCAAGCCAGCAATTTAACGAGGTTTAAAGTATTGTGAAGAGCCATTGATGAAAAGAGACACCACTCTATATATAATGGATCTCTGCATTTGATATTTGTCATTACTGGCATTCCCACTAATAACATTTGGGTGCAGTTAATGATCCCAACTTGAAGCTCTATAGAAACTTTCAATCATGGTTTCATTTGTGGCATACTATCAAACCTATTAACATTGTTTTTTGCCCAAATAATAATGCACATCAAACATAACTCTTAGTTTAGAATGGCAGCATCACCTATGCAGGCAATATGTTTGGGACTTGCATGCAGATATATACTTGTGGTTGTGTGTGGAGAAAAAGTAGTGTTAGATGAAATGATGAGAGGCCAATTTCCCGCTACTGAGTCTTCTACTCAAATGCATGAAGACCGATGCAAATCTAATATAGAATCATGGTCATTTGCTGGATCATTCAGATTGAGCTCAGCGAATGCTTAATTCTCCTGGCATTTTAATGTGCATTTGCTCGTATGTGATCTGCAGGCAGTGACTGCAGATCCCGGAGAAGATGGATACCTTTTCTCATGTTCCCCCCGGGTTTCGGTTCCACCCGACGGAGGAAGAACTCGTGGATTACTATCTTAAGAAGAAGGTAGCATCAAGAGGGATCGATCTTGATATCATAAAGGACGTCGATTTGTATAAGATCGAGCCATGGGATCTTCAAGGCATCTATCGCCTTCATCAGCAGTGCATTTCTTTGTTCATCTTTTGGATCGGTGTAACTTTGGTATGTGTTTTTTGGAATCAGATAGATGCAAGATAGGAAGGGAGGAGCAAAATGAGTGGTACTTCTTTAGCCACAAGGACAAGAAGTATCCGACCGGGACACGGACGAATCGAGCGACAGCGGCCGGATTCTGGAAGGCCACCGGAAGGGACAAGCCGATCTACTCCAAGAACAGCTTGATCGGGATGAGGAAGACGTTGGTGTTCTACAAGGGTCGAGCGCCTAACGGGCAGAAGTCGGATTGGATCATGCACGAGTACCGTCTTGAATCCAACGAGAGTGCACCGCTGCAGGCAAGTGACAGTACGACTTCGCGCTCAAACTACTCTTCTCCTTCTCCGAGCCAAAGCTTGTGATGCTTCCATGTTGCAGGAAGAGGGATGGGTTGTGTGCAGGGTTTTCAAGAAGAGAATGACGGCGACGCCCATCGGACGAGCAAGCGGACATGACTCCGCATGCTGGTACGACGATCATGCATCCTTGGTGCCGGAGCTCGATTCCCCGAGGCAAGCAGGAGCGCGGCCGGGGATGGCGTTCCTCCAGCTGCCCCAGCTGGAGAGCCCCAAGCTTCCCTTCGACGTTGGCCATGCAGCTGCTCTCCACCCACCCGCGATCACGCAGGACGACCTGATGCAATATTCCAACAAGCAGCTTCAGGTTTTCTCCACCTACAACATCGCCGGAGCTACTGATCATTCGGTGGAGCAGGTCACGGACTGGAGGGTGCTCGACAAGTTCGTCGCGTCCCAGCTCAGCCATGACGGCGGCGTCTGCAAGGAGCTCCACTGCTCCACTTCTGAGAAGCCTGAGGTAAATGCCGAACGTGCTTCGACTTCCAACTGCAGTGCTGCCCAAATCGAGCTGTGGAAGTGAAGGCGTCCGATAGTTGACTGGAAATACTGATCATTAGGAGGTAAATAGGTGTCGAAACATGTGGAAGGCCACGGATTTAATGTACATAACATGAAGCCGAGGGTTTGGATGATTGACTCGATCTCTCTCGAACTATGGACTCTTTCGTTTGGTCCATTGTTTGACAGCAAGATTTGCTGTCATCACAATATGTCTACAGAACTGTAGATGTCTGTCCGTTCATTATAATTGAAATGTCATCGAACAACATTCTTCACCATTCATTTGCATCCAGTGATGTACTATCACAATTATGAATTGATGGTAAGCTTGCATGGATTCCTGACGATTCCAAATGCATCTTAGTTTGCATGGATTAGAGATTTCTCATAACCATCTGTTGCAAGCTAAAATTCATTTCATGACCATTGTTGAATGCTACCATCTAAACTTCAACTAAATAAGTCGCCCAGCGATCGAACATTATATGGTTTGATTCTACTCCACAAGAAATTTTTGGGCCTTTCACATCTCATCAATTTCTTCTCACTGTATTATTCACTAAAATTGTCATATCCTACGACAAATATTGTAGCTAAAAAAGAGAAAAGAGGGACCAAAAACAGAGGAAGATTAAAGTTTCTGATAGAGAAACTCGTTTCTCATGCCAAGTCACCTTCAATTTGCATCACAAAGTCCAGTGGATTCATCGCAGAAGCCGTCGCGATCCAGTAGTTTTGGAGGTGGCGCACTCAAGAGGGGGGAAGAAGGGCTCCCGTAGGCGTTCCTGCGAGTGTTCCCGCAACCCAGACTCTTCCTTGTGCTCACCCCTGTCATCGGGTTGGTTCCACTTGCATACTTGCACAATGCCTTCAAAATAAATGAATCAAATTTGTACAAAAGATTGATATCAACCATAATGTTAAGGAGATCCTGTACATGTTAATATGACGGTTCTTCCATTCGCAATGCTTATAGCTAAGGTATTCATTCTTGCTTTTTTCTTAATTTATCCTTCTGCAGAATTCAATTTATAACAAGCAGATGTTTGTGGCATGCAAAATAATCAAGTGCCATATCTAACAAATAACAACAGTAACAACAACAACCCATAATGTCACGACCAAATCATCGATCTATTTCTGTTATTGAACCCATCAATTACGATGGGTATTAAAAACCATATCAACAAATGAAACTGAAAGTATGATATCAAGAAAAGAACAGCTGTGCACGAAGAAATAGTGTGAATTAAGGCACATAATTCTAGTTATTAGTGCCAGAAAACCTTTAGAGTTTCACATTCAAAGGCACCTGTTTTTGGGGCAGGTCCAGCACAGCATCACTAAAGTCAGCACCTTTGATAATTGCACCACCAAGATCGCTGCGTGTGAGAACTGCTCTTACAAGTACAGCATTTGTGAGATTGGCTTCATTAAGAACCTGCTCAAGGAATAATTTTACTTTTACAATTAGTGTATCATTAAGGCCAGAAAAGATCATATACAACCAACTTAAGGATGTCAGCTAGCTAAAATTCATGACTATCTCAAGTGATCCAAATGCTCAGTGCTGTAATTGTCACATAAGCAAACAGCCCCTGGCATATCCACTTTGCTGTTCTTTCTTTTATATTGATTTACCTAATTGTCTTTAATTACTTCTCTTTCAAACCCGTTAAGTTTCTTTGAGAGGTTGGTCACTTTTTGCTCCTTCAAATTGTGTATGTCTTCCTTTCCCAACAGAGTTTCTTCAATGTATAATGAACATAAGTAGTGGTAGATTTATCTTCAACAGTTTTCATTTGCAATTCCCTCGGATATTTTCTTTGCACTTTGCCTGAAACTATCTATACTAGATGAAGGAAAAAAATAAATACAGAAAAAAAGAAATACACTTTGCCTGAAGTAGATTGAAAGATTGCTCATTATATAACTCTGACAAAGTCTTTTTCTGCGTTTCTGGGGATAATTTCAAAATACAAAAAAGTATTCAGATAGCCAGTGGAGAAATTAAAAACAATTTCATGCATAATTCTCTGGAAAAAGTTATGTTGAACATTTCAGCAATCTAAATTTTGTCAGTGGTTTGCTGATAGTTCAGTGGATCCACTTCTACCTATCACATGCATACTATAAAGAAACCCATATAAGTACCTTAATCAATTAAGCAGTTAAAATTTTGAAAAACGATGCAACAGTGAGCCTACCATGCGGTCCATCAAAGTATCACTCAAATCAGCACCTGCACGAGATCACAAGCAACACAGGAAAGCTACGAATTAGAATACAGCTAAGTTATGCTGAATTTATGTTACCAAACACTTGTCTAGGATCTAGAAAAAAATTGTGGTGACTGAGATAGTATAGAATGATGATTACCTATAAAATTGATGTCTCTATTTATTCAAAGAATAAAATCTGACAAACCAATGTACTGAACGATAGCAAGTTCTTTCTGAACTTTTCATTGTGTTATGCAATTTAGCATAGCTGCATTTGACTGAAAGAATGCACAGAGAACCCAATTGTTTGGGCCTTTCTCAAACTGACCCTTGCACTCTTGAATTAGCCGTTCAGGTACCTCACCTTTGGTTAAATTGCCTCAGAGGAAACCTACTGTCAGTGAACAATGACGGGAGGTCTTCTCTAGTACCCAGGATCACTAAAAATATATATATTATGCCTCATAAAACATTTTCCCTTTTTCTTTCTCTGCTTCTGACCTCTTCCCTTCCCCTCCCTCTCCCACCACCACAAGGAGGAGATGCAGTGATGGTGGTAGCAGTAGTGATAGCGGTGGGAGATGGACAAAGGAGGTAGAGAAAAAAAGGAAGAAAAAAAGGTAAAACAATAGTAGGAGGATGAGGAGGTGGTGACTCGGGAAGGAAGGACAAGAAGAAGAGGTAGAAACAAACAAAAATAAAGAGAAAAAGGAAACATACAGGTGGTGATGGTGATGGTGGTGGTGGGATGGGGAGGGAGCATTGAAGAGAACAAAGATAAAAAGAGGGAAGAGAAAAGAAAAGAAGAGGAGTGTGGCAACAACATCTGAATATTATCATCATAATTGAGTATCTAGCCAAGAATGTTGAAAAAAGAACAATGCTGTGAAAAACCATCATTCCTACTTTGTTCAGACTACTTTTCCCATCACATGACTCAAGACTGGTTAGAAGCAAATATACAAGTTAATGTTCTTTCTTAACCTTTTGCCAGATTAAAGTTATTATGAAAAAATATGTTATCACTATAAATAAGAAATCCAGTGGTTAATCATGGACAACACAAGCTGCTTCATGACTAACCAGTGAAAGCATAAAGGGGTAAATTTAAAAGACAAGGTTCACTAATAGACAAATTAAGATAAAGAATCCACATAACTAACTACATGTGATCCCCCAAGACAAACATCCAAGCTTGGAAAAATGTTGATACTTAAGAAAATGGTAACTAGTGACAGATTAGAACTAATAGATCATATACATATAGATAATAGATACTGTATAAAAAAATGAAATTGGAATATCCAAATAGTATAATATTAAAAGAACTCTTGATTGAGATTAGAAATATTAAACTTTGGGAAGTAATGGTTGAGTAGGAACCATTTTCTAGATTAGTGTTCTAATCTGACTTCAATTTCTTGCGAAGATCAGTAATAAATTACAGCGATATTAATTCAGATATGCTAGTGGTGATCAATTGTTAACAGTAAACATCCATTCAAGTAATAAGCACCTAAAATCACATAGACCAAAAAGGAAACTAAACGAATCTATGTTTAGATATTCTTAAGTTTGACACTTCAATTCGATTAAGTGCTAAAATTCTATTCCAAAGGTCATAAGAACAAAAAAAACATCCTTGTGGATCTAAGACTTCAGAAAAGTGCTTGACCTTGAAGGAGAAACATAGTTTGACAAGGGCTAAATGCTTAAATGTTACAAAAAGAAATAATAAACAAGTAATTGAAACTCATGGATAAAAGAATGACATATTTATATACCTGTAAAATTTGCTCTATAGGCAACTGCCTTTTCAAGATAAGCACCGTTGAATGTAGAGCCACTGAAATTAGATTCTCTCATGTCGGCAGCTGTGAAGTTGGCGCGTCTGTATCATTATGAAATTCCTAGAAGCATGATTGACTGTGATACCGGATAAAATACTGGGGGGCAAAAACCAATCTCATAAAGACTGAATACAAGATTTTAAACAGCAAACAAATTCTGAGCTGACTATGGCCACAATATTGATAGTCCAATTTATGAACTTCTCTTTTCCATTCTTTGTTAAACTACCAGGTCATGACATGGCATTATGATGCTAAATGATTTTGATTTAGATATTCAGCTCAGTTTAGCTAGGGCTTCAGTGTATCTGGCATCAGTCCGATATTAATAACTCAGTTTGATTGGACAGTTTGAATCAGGAACGATAGTCTTTTGGATTCATCTTTGGGGCTGCTATGCATCAATTTTAGGTTACACGATGGATATCAACCAGTAATCTCTGTCAAACATCACTGTAAAATTAATAATGAAGATAACTTATGTTACAAACTTCCATAGCAAGTACATTAGGCTTGGGATTCAGTTTTAGGTTAGCCCTAAACCAACTGAAATCTCAGATTTGAGATTTCCATCCCTTATCCAAACAAGCTCCGAAAAACCCCAACCCAGCCCAATGATTGGGTCAGGTTGGGCGTATTTGCAATGAACTCAACCCATTTGGCAACTCTATGTCAAATACTGCTCCAGGTTCCTTGCTCAAGAACACGGATGGGTGATACTTCACAAAGTTTTCCAATAAAATTTCATGCCATACAAGCTGAGAGTTATAACACTCATCCGAGCACTGGGCCACATTGACAAGCCACCTCGGAGAATACACAACATCGTGAATGATCATATTGAATTACATCTAAATTATCTACTTGCATTTTTGTTCATATTTTAACAGAAGCTAACTAATCAGTTGATTGGCTAGCTCATTTTGGGAGGATCAGTGGTGACTGCAGCTAGCAGCACATTGCTGATAAGGGTTTGATTCTGGTTGTGATCTCCAAATCTGCTGGAACTTTTTGTAATTAGTTCAATTGTCAAAAATGTTTCCTATTCTTATTTAAGAGAAACCACTACTCCAAGCATCATGCATGCAACAGTAAGTAGTAGAATTTTGACTAGACTCAATATTCTAATCGCATCCATCT